GGGGGGGGCGCGGGGCGGAGCGCGGAGCCGGCTCGGAGCTGCGGATGCTCCGGCACCGCCGGTGTGAGCGGGGCGGGCGCCAGCCCGGTTCTGGGCATGTGCAACCGGCAGCGGGATCGCGACGGAGGCTCCGGTACCGGCTCTTCACCGCCAGAGGAACCGGTACCGCTCCGGCCCTGCTATCCCGGCACTGGCATCAGTCCTTGGATCCCGGCACCGGCACCGACCGGCCTCTACCGGGACTGACACCGGCACCGGCACCGGCACTGGCGCGGGCATCGGCTCTTCTTCCCCGGCACAAGGTCCGGTCCCCCCTGACACCGGGACTGACGCTCACGTTATCCTCCCCCGGCACTGGCACCACTCCGATTCCCCGGCACTGCTCGTCCTTCTCCATCACCGGCACCGAGCGACCCTTCCCGGCCCGCCGGGCCCCCCCGCCTGCCGCAGGTACCGGCGCTGCGGGGCCCGGGCCGAGCGGCGGGGCCGGGCAGCCCCGGTTTCCTCAGAGGCGTTGGTGGGTCTGGAGGGTCCCCCAGGTACTCCCAGGGCTCTGAGGATGGGTTCGGGCACGGGCACAGCAGGGACCACCCGTGCGGACCCTCCCACGGAGGATGCGGGGCCCGTGGCGGGCGCGGGGGGTCCCGGAGAGGAGGAGGTGACAGCCCGGCATGTGGCAAGGTGAGGGCTTTGAAGGTGAAGCTGGGCAGGTTCCATAGGGGCTGAGCTGCTGCAGCTTCCTTCTCCTTCCAAAAATCGGCACCGCAAATCCCTTCTTTGTGTAGTTTATCCAAAACCTCTCGGATGAGAGGCGGGCTGAGGCTCTGGTGGAAATGACAATGCTCTTCCTTGGAGCAAGAGGAAAACATTTTGGTGTCCTTCGGACAAAAGCTGGGTCTGGCTCTGCTGCCCTGGCCCTGCGGCCGCAGCAGGGATGGATCCCCAATCCCAAAAGCCAAGGGACGTGTCCGGCTGCCCGGAGCTCCCCCCGGGGTTGCCGCTGCCCTCTGGATGCTGCCGCTTTGAATTAGGTCAGGCTTCATCCCGGGCGGGCTGAGCTCCCGCTGCAGCCCCGGGGATTGATGGCTCGTGGCAGGAGCCCGGGCAGGGGGAGGAAGGGGCTCCGAACCGCGGGGAGCTGGGGACGCGCACCGGAGGGAGGGAGGGAGGGGGATGCGATGCTTTGAAAGCGCCTCCCGTAAGATCCACCGAGATCAGAGGAGCGGGATGTCAAGGAAAGCTCCAAATAGACTCCGCACACCTTCGAGGTGTGGATTTCCAGGCGGTGGAAGGAGCTGCAGCAGCCAGAAAGTCTCGGCAGCATCATCCACCGGATAACTGCTGCTCCCTGCAGTTCCTACCCTGAGGCTGTGCCGGTGTGCATGGGATGGATGTTGGAAGTGGCTGGATCCTTCCTTCCCCGTGGCTCTGAGCTCCCGTGAGCTGCAGGGGCCACGCAGCTCAGGAAGACGAGCAGGGATTGGGAATGGCTGAGACAAGGGAGTGAAGCAGAGTCCATAGAGAGGCTGGGCTAGGCTCCAGCCCTGGATGCACAGGGTGCTGTAGAGGCTCTGAGAATTGGTCCTGGGGCTGGCTGGCTCTCAGAATCCTGCTGGAGGCATTCCAAAGCCCACCTGGCTCCTTGCTCCCCCAGCAGCACAAAACACACCCCAGTATCCACCAGCAAAATCCCTGAGAAGCAGTGATGTGACGTGGAACTGGGAACAGAGGACGGGGCTGGGATCCCAAACTGCCCGGCCCGTTGGCCAAAGTTACATTCTGAGCTTGCAGAAATCCCTCAATTATCTCGGGATAATGCAGAGAGCTCCAGGGACAGCGTCACAGCCGGGCTCTGTCACGGTGTTTTGTGCAGATAATTAGAGAGGGATTTCCAGCTCCTTTGGCTGAGTGAGGAAAGCGCTGCTGTGGTGCCACGTCCCCGCCTGCAGCGCCACTGCCACCCTAATTAACCCCGGAGGACTGAGGGAAGTTAATGAAGTTGATATTTCAATTAACTCCCTGATTCTACAACCAAAGCAAACAGCAGGCGGGCAGTGTCCACCCGGGAGCTCCCACCGTGCCAGGCTGTGCCGTGCCACACGTGAAGGGAATGTTTTAGGGGGAGACACTCCAGGACACCAGCCCAAGCTGGTCTCTGTCAGGTCATATCAAGACCTGAATTTGAACCGAAGCTGGGAGCAAGGAGCGGAATTTTGGAGCTGGAATCCGGTGGAGAGGCTCACTGATGGTCATGGCTTTGGTGTGTCCACACACAGCGAGGGGGGACACTGTCATTAGGGGTCTTGTGTCCCTGCCCAGCAGGGATGTGACCATCCTGGGCTCTGTGCCCCAAGCACTGCTCCTCAGTCGATATCCATCCACTCATCCTGGAAGAGCTGGGATCACCCCTGAGAGCTGTTTGCTGGCACCTCCAGAGCCACCATCATCCCCAAAACCCTTGCAAGGAACTTCATGTCCACTTTATCCTGGAAAGAGCAAAAAGATCCCCCCAGGATCCTGCAGGGCCACGGGCTGGGGATGAGCTGCAGGCTGGGAGAGGGGTCAGTGCTGGGGCACCTCCACACTCAGTGCTGGCTCTCTGAAGCCTGAGGCAGCAGCAAAGCCTCCCCCGGGGCTGTACCTCCCTCTCGGGGTGCTGGTGGTCCAGCCAGGACACCCAGCAGGGTCTGTGCTCTGCCCACACCCTCCCCAGAGGTGGCTGCAGCTGCAGCAGCAGCGTAGCCCCCGCTGTACTCACCATCCCTGCCAGAGGAGACCTCCCATACAAACCCAGGCTATTATTATCTCTGTCTTCCACCGTGCTAATGGTCTCTCAGGAAACAGACTTCTTTTTTTTTTTTTTTTTTTTTTTTTTTTTTTTTTTTTAGCTTTTAAAACCCACGAGTACGGGAGCGGTGGGAACAGAGAGCTGGTCACGGTGGAGTGGAGCACAAGGAGCAGCGCTGGGGTGACCCTGTCCCCCTGACCTGGCAGGGACACGGAGCAGGGACCAGGCAGGACCCTCCAAGGAGCAGCCCAGGAGCGTTCTGGTAGGAAGAGCCAGGGGTGATGGGCAGTACTGGGGATACTGGGAGTGGCTGCGATGTGGAGCCGTGCATGGCGAGGGGCAGGGGCTGTCCGGGCTGCAATGCTGCCGTGGGAGGTGGATCTGCGGTGTCAGGGGAGGGATCCCTTGGAATCACAGAATCATGGAATGCTTCAGGTTGGGAAGGACCTTAAAGACCTTCCCCTGGAGCAGGTCCCCTCTCAGGCCCAGCTCCACAGCTCATTTCCCTCTTCTCTCTCCTCGTTTGGCTGTTTCGGTCACCAGCCAGGCTCTGCCCGGAGCTGGGAGCACCGGGACAATCCCCCGTGGATGATTTGGGGTTAACAAGTGGCTCCTGTAAAGGAAGAGCTGAGATTATATAAAGGGGGCTGGAGGCAGCTGCGGCACAGCCTGTAATTAATTCCTGGCACCGAGGAGCTCTGAAGATGCAGGGCGGCGCGGTGCGAGTGTGAGGCAGCCCCGGGGTCCCTGGGATGAATTCCTGCTGCTGCTGTGAGGGGAAGAGGGCAGGGAGGGGCTGCGCACTCCATGGACCTGCTGGGAGCTGACTCAGCACTGCAGATCCCTTCTCCTTCCCAAAATCCCGGCGGGGGCACGGCTCAGAGCGGGTCAGCCCATGGCTTTGGCAGGAGTGCAGCACCGAGGGGTGGTGGTGGCTGCTGGGGACAGGACAGCGCTTCCTTGAGGCCAGTGACCCCCTCAGGACAATGGAAACTTGGTGTTAGAAAATCTTTTGTGCCCCCCACCTCCGGTAAAGCCAGAGATTGCTGACTGTGCTTAGGGAGCATCCCCACGCTGCACTGGGGCTGCAGCTCGGGCTGGCTCAATTTTGGGTTCATGCAGTGCTTGAAGCAGGGCCCAAACCAAGAACTTTTAGAGGAGTCAGGGAGTGCTGCCCGCTGGCCTGGCATCCCCGCTCGCACTGGGACCACTGGAATATCCTGGTGTGGAAAATCCCTCTGGTTTGGCTGCAGTCCCGTCTGGCAGCTCCGGGCTCTCGTCGCTAATTGCCTGGCTGAGGTTTATTTTATCCTCGTTAGACAAGCGCAGCCATTGAGCTCATCCCACAAGCCATCCCAAAATAGGCTGGGATGTGCCCAGCCCGGAGTGAGGGTCCGGGAGATGCCCCGGGGCGATGCCGACGGGGGAGGCAGGAGCAAACCGCAAACACAGGATGCAAACACAGGATGTTGTGTGCCCTGCGGCGACGCGGAGCTCTCCCAGCTCTGACAGCCGCTCCCCTGTCCCTCGGCAGTGCCATCGGCGATGCGAGCCATGGCAGACCAGGCTGCGGTGGCAGCAGAGGCTTCTCCAGCCCTGGCACCGTCCCCGGGCTCACCTCGGCGT